TGGAATGTAGGCGACACGCTGCACAGTGGGCCAGAAGACCGGCGGAGGCGACCAAAACTCTAGACGAGTTTTGAGCTCCAGAGTCGCTAAATGGGGGTCGAACCGAACGTGTGACCCCACGAATGGATTGCTCTCCGAACGAGGAATCCGGGTACACGCTCGGTTCGAGTCCTGTTTAGCGACTCTGGAGCTCAAAACGCTTTCTAGAATTTTGGCCGCCTCGACGCCGAAAAGCGCGGGTCTCACCCCTCGCCCCGGGTTCGAGTACCACGCCATCCGCAGAAAACGGAAATTTTCCTATTTCGGTCTGCTTTCTTTCTCTCTCTTTCTCTCTGACCCCGATGTGGTTACTGGGCCCAAGAACGCAGCGCCACCGCGGCCCGCCACGGCCCACCCCGCGCTGCCGGCCGAGGGGATCGAAGGGATGAACTAAGCGTGTCGCAACCCGTCGCGAACGGTCGGCGGCCCGCCGTCAAGTACATTCCTGCTTCTCCCTTACTCCTTTGGCGGTCCGCACGAGTGCGAGAGAGACAGAGCGGGACCTGCGCGCTGCCGAGACGTGCGTCTCCATAATGCAAGCAGCGCGGTCAAGTTTGAAATCGATTGGGGTGCGTCTCTCTTTTTCGGTCCGCGAGACGCGAGGCGCGTGACGGTGACCCCTGGGCCCTGGAGGTCGATTTAGTCAGAAGGGTCGATGCTGGGCTGCGCTGGGCTGGGCTTGGCCTGGACGTCGGGCCGGGATGACGGCCGGGCTGCCCAGCAGACTGATTCCGAGAGTCGTTCTCGTCGCTCTGTCTCTCTCGCACTCATGGGGCGTCTCTGATAGGTGCGAGGGAGACAGAGCGACGGCCCTCGGAATCAGTCTACAGCTGGCCCGCTCTCCGTATCAGCCGGCGGGCACACTGTAGTGACTCGGAGGCTGTACACTGTGGGGCCCCGGGCAGCCCTTGCCGCCACGGTCAGCGCGGTGCCGCGGCATGCCGGCGACAGGGTCAACGTCCAGCAGACCGAAGGGCCGTTTCGTCGCTCTGTCTCTCTCGCGCCACTGCGGACCGCCCCGTGAGTGCGACAAAGACAGCGACGAAACCACCCTTTGAAGCGGACGGCAGCCGCGGGGCTCGGCGTGGGCTCGCCGTCAAGGGGTGCAGCCAGACGTGCGATTCCCAAGGGGCGGCTCGGCGCTCTGTCTCTTTCGCACCCCTCCGACGCGCCACAAGAGCGCGAGAGAGACAAAAAGACAACTGATTCCGCAGAGTGGTTTTTGTTGCTCTGTCTCTCTCACACCTACAGGGGACGCCCCATGAGGGCGACAGAGGCAGGCCGACGAAAACGGAAAACGACTCTCGGAATCAGCAGTCTGAAGTTCGCCGGCCGGCGTCTCAAAGTCTCAAAGTGCGCCACCGAAGGCAATCAAGGCCGGGACATGCGATTGCGGCTTGCTCGGCTTGCTCGGCTTGCTCGGGTTGCGGGAGGCGGATGGGATGGGATTGGATGGATTGAGCGTCGCCGGCGACACTATATAGCGAGTGAAACCCTGGCCGTGCCGCCACTCGGCATCGCGCCGCCCTGCCGCACAGTGGGCCAGAAGACCGGTGGAGGCGGACACAACTCTAGACGCGTTTTGAGCTCCAGAGTCGCTAAATGGGACTCGAACAGAACGTGTGAGCCCACCAATGGATTGCTCTCCTAACGAGGAATCCATTGGTGAGGTCACACGTTCGGTTCGAGTCCCGGTCAGCTACTCTGGAGCTCAAAACGCGTCTAGAGTTTTGGCCGCCTCCACCGGTCTTCTGGCCCACTGTGGCCGGGCCGGCTTTGCTTGCCTGCAAGCGGATTCCGAACACAGCCGTCTCTGTCGCACTCGTAGGGCGTCCCCTAGGGGTGCGAGAGAGGCAGAGCAACGTGTTCGGAATCGAACCTGCGGGCTCCTGTCATACGAAGTATCGTTTCGTCGCTCTGTCTCTCTCGCACTCGTAAGGAGCGCCCCACGAGTGTGACAGAGACAGAGACTCGACTGGGACACCTTGCACCCACGCGACAGCTGATCGGGGCCGCGGCCTGCAAACGTCAGGCGCTCGATGAAGGCCGTCGGGCACGTGCGCGGTACGTAATGTCGCCGCGGCGTGCACCCCCACGAACTCTCATTCCAAGAGTCGCTCTCGTCGCTCTGTCTCTCGCACTCATGGGGTGTCCCGTGTTGCTGCGAGAGGGGCAGAGCGACGTACACGACTCTCGGAATCAGTCTGCGGTGCAGGCCTCGACACGCCTCTGACGGGGACACTAGGGCAGTGGGCCGCAAGGCCGTCGCGGAGGCCTGCCGAAGGGCTTCAAGGTCGCAGCCGTGCGGTCCTCTACGGTGCGCCCTGGGTCGACGCCCTGGTCTTACCTTGACAGGCGCTGCAGGATGCTGGCCATGGCGGTGCTGGTCGCGCTGAACTTCCCTCCGTGCGGACGATCACTGCACTGCACTCGACACTGGCACTCGCGGCGGCGGGTAGCGGCGGGTAGCGGCGCGGCGCGCGCAGCAAGCGGAATCAAACAGGTGCCGACAAGTCGGAACTCGTCCAGCGGGCCGGCAGGGCTGGGGCAGGCTGGGGTGGCAAGAACCGCGGGGCGGGGCGGGGCGGGGCGGGGCGGGCGGCGGGCGCTCTGAAGGGCCGCGGAGCAGCGCGTAACTAGGGCGTGCGGTGCGCTCGAGTGCGTGTCTGCAAGTGCGGACCCGACCGGCCGGCGGACAGGGCGGGGCGGGGTGTGGCTGGAGGGGCGGGGCGGGGCGGGGTGGGGCGGGGCGTGACGGACCGGCGGACCAAATGGACAAGACACAAGTGAGTGGCCAACCCAACGGGCACCTACGGCCACCACAACACAACTGAAGGCAGAGACGGAGGCCGAGTCGCGACGCGGTACAGCCGCAGTGGCGGAGCGGGGCGTGGCCGGGCGGGGCGCGGCGGGGCGGGGCGGGGCGGGGTGGGTGGGGTGGGGCGCGCCAGGTCCGCCCGTCTGTCAGAGTGTCAAGAACAGTACCCACTTGAGGGCGGCCCGGGCAGTAGGACTGACAACCAGGGCGCGCAGGGAGTTTTATATTTGAAACGGTTTAAAAGGAAAAAGTTAAGCAAAATTCAGTTTTAAATTTATGTTATCCTCTGCATATCTTTTATACTAGTATCACTAGCAGTTTGCAAGATAGGCGCCGAAAATGTCAACAAAAGCTAAGTTTGCGCGTTCTGCTGATAACTGACAGCATCATTGCTTTGGTACAGTACTCGATATCCGTTCTTTTAGATCTCAGCCGAAGCGAAGGTACTAGTGTGGAAGATTTGTGGGGTATGGTTAGCTAATTTGGGACCGTGTAAAAATCTCTATAGCTTCGGGATGTTCAAAAACAACTGTTCTGATTCTGTTGAAATTTGGTTTCTAGGCAGCAGTTTCTATGTACTCTTCTTCATTCCCCAATGTCCTGTGGACACACCACTCCCAGCCTCGAAGGGAGCTTTAATTTGGCAGTGTACTTGCGGCGACCCGCGGCGCGGATTTGCGCGCTGCAGGCGCTAATCAGTGCGTCCGGCCGAGCGATCCGCGCGGAGTACTAAAGCCTTTTCTTGAGGACCGAAAACCCGAGCCCCGTCTCGGGCTGTTTCCGAACAGTGCTTTCGTCGCTCTGTCTCTCAGGCACTCGCGGGGCGCTCAGGACGGGTGCGAGAGAGACAGAGCGACGAAAGCACTGTTCGGAAGCAGCCTGCCGGGAAGTCTGCCGGGGAATTTGCGATCATTTCTCGCGAACCGACGGACCGTCCCTACCGTCGTCTTCACCAGTCCAGAGCCCTGAGGGCCTCCGTGGCTTTCCCGTGCGGAGCGAGGCACATTCCGAAACCTCAATTCCCTGCTCTTAAATAAAAAAAAAAACATTACAAAATTGTTTGGCATGTAGTAGTAAGCGTTTGGCGTCGAATGGGATGCCTACCAGCCGGGCGCCTAGCGGACTCTGTTCTAGACTCGGTTAGGTGCGTTTCGCTTGCAGGTTTGCCTGCGAGCAGTTCCACCGGGCATGCGTCTGACTGAGTACACTGCACACTTTACGCTCAAAAGTTTACGCTACAATTTCCCTTTCCAAGGCAAATGTTTTATTTTTGTAGTTTCTTTTTGGATTTCGAGGGGAGGGGGTGTTGTAAAAACTGAAAGCATGATCTGGGTGAGTAGTACAACAATGCGGCGGCCGAACAAGCAGGAACAAGCTCCACGATGTTCCTCGATGTGCCGCGATGTGCCGCGATGTGGCGCGATGTGCGCGTGGACGAAGGCCTGCCTCGCCGTGGCCGTGGCTTGCGTGCTACTCGTGCTCGTCTCCACCGTCATGGTGCTCTTCTCCGCCGCCTTCAGCCGCGCCACGCGGCCTGAGGCATCCTGAGGCATCCTGAGGTGCACTCGCACTGACACGGTACTCCGCAGACTGATTCCGAGAGTCGTTCTCGTCGCGTTGTCTCTCTCGCACTCACGGGGCGTCCCGTATGGGTGTGAGAGAGACAGCGACGAAAACGACTCTCGGAATCAGTCTGCCGGCCGTCTGATTCAGCGTAGCAGTTTGTCGCTGTCTCTCTCGCGCCCTTACGCCTCGAGTGCGACAGAGACAGAGCGACAAAACGCAAGGCGGGTCATCGAATTTCGCGTTCGCAGGCGTTTCAGGGCTGCGATCGAACGGGAGAGAAATCGAAGCTAGGCGCGGTGACACATCGCTTCCCCGTGCCCTTGGACTTGGACTTCCCTCCTCCACTTCTCGCTCAGTTTCATCTTGGCTCGCGAGTCTCCCAGACGACCCCCCCAAGGACGAATCCCCAACCAACCGGGCATTCAATATCGCCCCTTTCCCTCAGTGCAACATCCGTGCTGGTGCATTTGTTTGGCCGCGATTCGCTGCCGTCGCAAACTGCGCTTCAAATAAACATTTGAAAGATCCGCACAATTTCTCATATCGCCTTTCTTTTCTTCCCGCCACTGTTGCTGCTGCGGCTGCTGCGGCCGCGGCTGGTCGAAAGCTGCGGTTGCGGTGGAGGAGGAGTGGTCGCCCGTCATCGCAGCCTTCAGCGAAGCACCTCTTCGTGCTTACAATTCGAACATTGCGTCATATATTTGTTGTTTCTTTAAAAGCGGCTGTGATCGCAGGTAGTTATGGTTGCGCGGAGTGTATTAATTTTTCTCGGGCAGCCCAAGGTTTCGCCTGTTCTTGTGCGGAATTTCGCGTCGTCTGCTCCCTGCCTGCGTCAGAAGGCACACTTTAACCTATAAAGACGCAGGCGGGTCGGATTCAAGGCTAGTTTACGGGCCAAACGCATCTGCGCAGTATAATTCCTGAAATAATTTGAGCTCGGCCAGGTTGTTTTTGTTGTGTTACGCCCCCGCCCCTCTCTCTGAGTGCCTCTCTGGCGCCAGTACGTCGCGCACGCCCTGCCCGTGTAGGTGTAGTAGCCTGTTACTCTTGATGTGCAAAGATGTGCATTGCCCCCAAACTTTGCTAGTTTGTTTATTTAAAAGCTGTTTTCCAAATTTCAATTGTGTCGCTCTTGTAGTGTTTTGTACTATTTTCTCTTTTGATTAATCAAATTTGTTTGAAGGTGACATTTATTAGGTGCAGAGAGTTTCTAAAATCAGTATGATATTCATTTTGTTTCTCCTATTGGTTTTACTCCCTCAGGTCTTACCAATAATTTTGTTTTTCTTTTATGATTGACTAAAAAATATAAATGTGCATGTTTGTGTTTTTAGGAGGTACATGGTTTAGTGTTGATGTCACATTTATTACTTTCTGAATACATTGTTTTGTTTTTCTTTTTGTTAAAGGATGGAGTTGATGTTAAACGTCTTGGATATTGTTTGCTGATAAAGAGTCAGCAGCACAATGGCTCTCCTCGGGCGTCCACTTCTGCTTGTTCCCAAGAGCCTCCGCTATATTTCTCCTTTGACGTGCCGCCTGCACATATATGCTCCTTGTGCTTCGCCAACAGGGGTGAAGACTAAAATAACTTATCCCAGTAAAGCAACTGTTAGTTTCAATTTTTTAATTTTTCACATTTTTAGAACACCGCTAAACACTGCATTGTATAATTTATTGTTGCATTTCAGGTGACTCCTATATTTCGAAATGCCCCCCTGTTTGCGGAAAGGACAGCCTTGCGGGATTGTCATGGCTTTTACACATACATGGGACTGTTCCTCAGCAGCCGTCAACTTGCAAATCAGATCACAGAGCTGCTGAAAGGGAAGGAACAGGAGAGGGTTGCTTTCTTGTGTCCTAATGATGCGTCTTATGTCATTACTCAGTGGGCCTGTTGGATGAGTGGGCAAATTGGTGAGGTTTTGTGACTTACTCAAGTCTCCTGTGTTCTATTTTAGAATTATTAATGTTCATGATTTGTTATTTTTCAGTTATTCCTTTAAGTCCCCTGCATCCTGAAGCATCACTTCAGTATTTCATCACAGACAGTGATGCATCGCTGCTTCTTACAACAAATGAATTTGCCCCAAAACTTGAAGGCATAGCTCAAAGTTCTGGACGCCGCCTTCTAGTGATTGATGATGCCTTAAGAACTTTAGCAATGAAACCAGAAATCAAGGTGGATCCAAGCCAAGTAGATTATATTCAACCTTGTAAGTTGCCAGTGATTGTGTCACTGTATTTATTTTCTTTTGTTGGATCAACTTTTAATCACATTTCACAAATCCTCTTTGCAGCTGGACCTGTCACTGATGATATAAATGCTGGTCTTGAGGATGATTTCTATGCAGACAGCTCTGCTATGATCATCTACACATCAGGAACTACAAGTAACCCAAAAGGTAATGGGAACAAATAACATTATTAATTCTAACCTTTTTAGAACTATGGTGTATTAATAGGTATTGATTTATTTTCAGGTGTTGTTCTGAGCTATCGTAATTTAGAAGCACAAGTGCAGTCTCTTGTGGAAGCTTGGAATATCACTAGTAAAGATAATGTTCTACACACCTTACCCCTTCATCATATCCACGGCATTGTCAATGGAATGATGTGCCCCCTTACGGTTGGTGGAAGGTAAGAGGACTCTTCAGAATGACTCTAATTTCTGCTATTGTCTTATCTCGTTTAGTATTTGTGTCTGACAGCTTTAACTTTTGTTGTTTTTTCAAATAGATGCACCATGTTGCCCCAATTTTCATCCTCCAAGGTGTGGGCACAGTTGCTGGCCATTCGGATGAAAGCCGCAGACAGAGTAAATGTATTTATGGGAGTTCCTACAAGTTACGTCAAACTTATTGAAGAGTATGAGCTAATATTCAGCAACAATGAAAAAATGCGAGAATACATTCAGAAAATTTTATCTGAAAAAATTAGGTAATGTTGGTGTGATATTGTCAATGCCATTTAATCTTGCAGATCCTGTTATGTGTTATTCTATTATTATTTAAATTTTATTTGGCAGACTGATGACCTCTGGGTCAGCCCCTTTACCAACACCAATTTTTGAACGATGGGAAAAGCTTTCTGGACATCGGCTTTTAGAGAGATTTGGTATGAGCGAAGTTGGCATGGCTCTCTCCAACCCATTGAATCCTTCCTCAGATAGAAGACCAGGCTTTGTAGGAACACCTTTACCAGGAACTAAAGTGCGCATAGTGAGAACTGAAAAGGGAGAACAAAATCCCAATGAAGTGAAAGAGGAAGTATTGTGCGAGGGAGATCAAAATGGCACCAAAGTTCTTGTGAATGATGGTGAGCCAACAATTGGTCAGTTACACGTCAAGGGGCCAAATGTATTTGAAGGGTATTGGAGGAAACCAGAAACAACTGCCAAGGAATTTGCTGCAGACAATTGGTTTAAGACAGGTAATTAACATAATTCACTGATTCAGGGAGCAGTTTTATGTAGTGTATATCATGGAAAACCATATAACGTTTTGTCTCTTTGTTTTATTCCAGGAGACACTGCACAGTTTGTAGATGGTTCTTACAAAATATTAGGAAGAACATCTGTGGACATTCTCAAAACTGGTGGTTACAAAGTGAGTGCTGTTGAGGTAGAAACAGCTCTCCTTGGCCATCCTGACATTATTGATTGCTCTGTTGTAGGACTCCCCGATGCCACCTGGGGGCAAAAGGTAATCATTCATTCTTGAATTGGATGAAAATGTCACCAGTTCTGTCTGGGTCAAAATATTATAACAATGTTTTCCTTGTAAATTTCAGGTAGCTGCTGTGGTGGTCACAAGGCCTGGAGCTGAAATACTTTTATCTCAAGTAAGAGAATGGAGCAGGGATAAATTACCTCCTTATGCTATTCCAACAGTGTTAAGGGTACTTGATAAAATTCCACGAAATAACTTAGGTAAAGTAAACAAAGTTAATATGGTGAAAGAAGTTTTCCCAGTTTCCGATAGCAAACCTCTGAAAAAGTAACTACTCTCTGCAAATTTTTTTCAAACTGAAATTGAAAAGTTAGGGCCTGCCCTCCACACTATTAAGCTATCTCAATATTTCACCTTAGGAAGTATTTCTCCCTGTTCATTCCTTTGTTAGATTCAACCTGCTAGTATCTTGATGTGGATGATCAGATTTCCCAAATATTTGGAAGTAAAACCAAGTTGTGTTCATTTACAGTTTGAATTTGGGTTCTGTGGTATAATTTGCTCTGTACATGCCATCTTCACTTCTGTCTTTACTTTTTACTTACTTATTGCTTAATTTAAATGTCTTGTTTTTCTACCTTGAAATAGCTTAAGTTCAAATTTTCATGAGTCTTTTTTTAAAACAGTTTTCTAAAATGAAATTTAATTTATAAAAATTGTGGGTTAGTTGCGGGGTGCATGACAATTAATATAGTTATCTATCGTTCTCTTGAAAAATCTGTAGCTCAACTTCTTTCAGAACAGTTTGTTCTACATTTCCTCGCACTGAACTCATGGACACAGCATGAGAAACAGATGTGGCATTTTGATTGTTGAAATGTTTTGTTAATTATTATAAATTTGGTTGGTTCTTTCCAAGGAATAAAAAACAATTTTTCTTTTAAAAAGTCTTATTTTATTGTCGTACAAAACATATCACAAATTAAGAAGTCTTACCATGCAATACCTGCAAGGAATACGAGACTAAAATATCAACACTTAGGCCAATGAAATTAGGAACGGATGGAATGTATCTAGGTCCGAATACAAACCATGTCAAACAAACTAAACAAATAACTAGCCTATTGCACATAATCAAGTTTAACCCACTATTAAATCAATGGTGAACCAACTACTGTTGATTATCTCGCATTAAAAAATAACTTTGGGGAAATTGTCAAGGAATCCCATCTACCATCTGATGGTACAAAGTCCAGTAAAACCTAACTTACATTACTTATATCACAATGCAGAGTCAGTATCACTGTACTAAACAAAATGACCCAATACTCCTGCCTCTCGCGCCTTTTCCAGGTGGTAAATACCTTCATTTGTCCTCCCATTGTCAAGACAATACAGGCCCCAGTCATGGCAGGCTTTCATCCACAGACCTTGCGATAAGTGAATAGCCGTCTTAAAACTAAGCATAACCTTGTGAGCGTCTCTTTTGCGTTCAGCATCCCTCTTGTCTTTAGCATCCGTCTTGCCTTCAGCATCCGTCTTGCCTTCAGCATTCCTCTTGCCTTCAGCATTCCTCTTGCCTCTGCCCAGACGTTGATACAGATGGCCACAGTGGAAATGCACATACGCACTATGTGGGTACAATCCTACAGCATCACTGCAACAGAACACAAGGGCCAATGAAGATGACATGCCCATGCCGACCCCAGGACCTGTGCGTCGACCCTCACCCCAAGAGCTTGGCACACTGCTCGACGTCCTTCTCGGGGCTGTCGAGGCAGGCCCTCGCCGTGGCCACGACGGTCTGCGGCGTGGGGCGCAACTCGTGAGCCTTGCGCAGCGCGGCCGTCTCCTCGGCCGTGGACTCCTCCAGGTCCTCGGGGTCCACGTCCATCTCGCGCGCGCGGGCGGCACGCAGGCACAGCCACTTGACGTAGTGCCACTGGGCCTCGCCGGGGTCCAGCTTCAGGGCCTGGTCGGCTTCCTCCACGTCCACTGAAACACAGCAAGGGGATTCAGTCGTCTCGTCGCTCTGTCTCTCTCGCACCCCTTCGGGCCGCCCTATGAGTGCGACAGAGACAGCAACCCCCGCACATTGGGCCAGAAGACCGGTGGAGGCGGTCACAATCCCGGACGCGTTTCAAGCACCAGAGTCGCTAAATGGGACTCAAACCTAACGTGTGACCCCACCAATGGATTGCTCTCCAACCGACGAATCCATTGGTGCGGTCACACGCTCGCTTTGAGTCCTGCTTCGGGACTCTGGAGCTCAACTCGCGTCTAGAGTTTTGGCCGCCTCCACCGGTCTTCTGGCCCCCCTGTGCTTCGGCTGTGGCGCGCGCTGCGCTGCGCGTAGAGCTGCGCGCTGGCGCTCACCCTGGGCCATGACGGCCTTGATGGCGTGCACGCAGGCGCGCTGCTGGTCGTCGAGCTCCTCGAACAGCTGCACGTCGTCGGCCAGGGTGCCGTCGGGCAGCGGGCGTTTGGCCTTGGCGTCCGCGTCCGTGCGCACCAGCAGCCACATCGAGTCCAGGACGTGCTTGAGCCCCGCCAGGTACTTCCGGAACACGCTCTTCTTGGTGTTGACGCGCTTGTCCAGGATCATGGCGTACACGTCCTCCAGCAGCTCGCGACTCTTCCAGACCATCGACTTCTCGGCGAAGTTGCAGGCCACCTGGATCAGCTCCACAGCCGTCTGCCACGGCGAGCCGCAGTACGGCGTGCTGTCCAGGATGGAGTACAGCCCGTTGACCGTGTCGGTGAGGGGCTTGAGCCGCCACACCAAGGGGCACTGCAGCCGCTTCACCTGCTCGAGCATCCCGTTGTACTCGACGTAGGCGCCGCCGAAGCCGCGGCGTCGCCGCGCCGTCTGGCTCGGCAACTGGTCCTCCAGGAGCTGGCGCCGGGTGATGCCGGGCATGAAGGACGACAGCGGCACGATCTTGCGGCGCCGGGCCTTCTTCGGCACCTCCGCGAACGGGTCGGGCAGCAGGAACTCGGCGGCATCCTGGAGGACAGTGACGCCATTTTCAGTCGGCCTGCGTCCGTGGCGCGGTTCACAGTGGGCCAGAAGACCGGCCGAGGCGACCAAAGCTCCAGACGCGTTTTGAGCTCTAGAGTCTCTACACAGGACTTGAACCGAACGCGTGACCCCACCAATGGATTGCTCTCCGAACGAGGAATCCATTGGTGGGGTCACACGATCGGTTCGACTCCCTTCGCGACTCAGGAGCTCAAAACGCGTCTAGTATTTTGACCGCATGCGCCGGTCTTCTGGCCCACAGTGTGGTTGCCAGCTTGCCTGGGCTTGGACTTGCCTGGCGCCATGCCAGCCCAGAGGGAAGGCCCAACGACGCCCGGCGCCAACAAGCGAGCCAGCGCCCACAACCACGACAGCCCGAACAAAACGACAACACATTCACTTTCAGCTTGGCGCCCAATGACGCAGCGACGGGGAAAACAATTTTCTGGGCGGTAGGCAAACGCACAGGTAGGAAACACGAGCGCCTAACCCCCGCCTCCCTCGAGCCCACCAAGGTCATCATGGAGTAGGGGAAACGCGTTCCGAAACAGCATCACCTCGCGAGCGGAACTTAACATTAGAACCCTCCGTTGAACCCCCAGACACCCTCCACTCGGACGGCGTGGTGCTGCTGTGCCTTGCCTGTCGTTCCTTCTGCTGCTGCTTCTTGAGTCGCTGCCGCTCACGCTTGGCCGCCTTCTTGGCGCGCTTGGCCTCGGGGTCCTCCAGGCCCTTGGAGTCCTGCTGGGCCGCCGACTCCGTGTTCGTCTGCTCCACGACCATGGCCGCGCCGGTCCGCACAGGTCAGCACAGTCCTTGAACGGAAATCAAAACGAGGTTAGACAGGACACCTGTAGTGTAGTGTTGTCCCCGCGAGGGCGCCGCGGCGTCGTGCAGTGGGATAGAGGACCGACGGAGGCGGCCAAAACTCTACACGCGTTATGAGCTCCAGAGTCACTAAACAGGACTTAACCGAGCGTGTGACCCCACCAATGGATTCCTCGTTCGGAGAGCAATCCAGCAATCCAGCACTCAGCGGCTACACTAAAAACGTGGTGAGTTGTTTTGTTACGAGCCGGCCGGGTCACGAGTGCGGCTCGCCGTGTCCAAGATGCTTTTACAGTGTCTAGTGCAGACTGGGTGCTGAGCCACAAGCGAAATCCACCGATGGTACAGAGATACAGTACGAAAACAGCCACAATTTCAACTCTTGAGCTCCGCCGGCGAGAAACGAAAACGGTACGGTCGCGACAACGAAAACCTAACCAAGCACCGGTACACTTTCGAGTCGAGCTTTTGGCTCGCTGTCGGTCCCCACCTCAGTGCTTCCCAAGAGGAAAGCACTGCCTCGTGTAGCAGCGAGGGCGCCAGTAAAAACATCAGTATAACCCAATAACATGAAGGAAGGACACTTACAAGTCGACGAGAAGATGGGATGGGTAGCTCGCACCGATAACAACAACAACAACCATACAACGGGCCTCTTCGGCAACCGGCTGCTCTTCGAGAATGGTCGGGGCAGGGCTGCCAAAATTCGAAACAACATACCCTCGTGAGAGGCAAACGCACGCAACAGCTGCCTTCGCCTCGTTCGTCGCTCTGAAGGGCTTCGGGAATGCTCTACAGGTTTCCGCGGGAGGTGTCCCCCGCCCACCAGCCGCTTGCAAAGCTGTAACCGTACACACTGGAGGGGCGCGAGGGCGCGAGCCCCGAGCCTCGATAAGGAAACTGCTTGGCCAGCAACCTGCTGCCCCCACCCCTCCCGTCGGCGGCTGGTGGAGCTAGTGGAGCCGGCGCTGCGGCAGCGCTCCCTCCCCCTCCCCCCTCCCCTTCTCCGGAGACAGGAGACGACAGCGCGCCGTGTGGGTAGGCCTCCCATCGTATACGCCTGCCCCAAGCTTGCCTAGCTGCTGCAATGTGTTCTGTGAGTATAGATGTGTAGATCTTTTTTCATTTCATAGTTCCAGGGTCGAGCTTGGGAGGGGATGTGTGAAAAATTGAATTGAAATGAGCTGTTTGATTTGCTGCTTTGGTTTTCATGACTTTTTAAAGGATATGGGGTGTAGAGCGCAGAGCGGGCGCCCCGATAAAGGATCGCGTCCTGCTTGTCTTGTTTTGCATGCACTCAGCGACCAACTCGCAAAGAACCAGTTGCCCCGAAAGCTTGTACTTATGATACCAGTTTCGAGTGGTGAACTGGTGAAAAGATACATGAGTCTAGGATTCGAACCCAGAACACACTCGTAGAGGGTCACGCTTTTGCCCCCTGAGCCACCGCTGCACTTTTTAGCAGTGTGCCTAAACTCAGACTGATGGTAACGGAATCTTCTGCATAGCCACTGCGCTGTGGCGTGTCGAATGAGTGGCCTAACTTCACGGCGCAATGGTTAAGATGCTTTAAAGGGGCAAAGCACTTTTCCTTCCAGACTCGTCCCATAAGACCTGGTCTGAGAATTTTACTTTGTGGTTATGAATGTTCACGTTTATGGTACCCAATTTTTCAACCTTTGATAGATAAAGGGGTGTAGGAGAATAATTACACAGCTAAGTAGGTAGGTAGGTATATTTATACAAAATAGATACAATATAAAATACATATAGTTGCCGCTCATTACTGCTCAGCATTCTTTGGTTTTTATGCAAAAATTTCAACTTTGTTACACACTGCGGATTAAAATTTCATCCCATATCCATATCACATGTGCGAGCACATGTGCACAAGTTTAGTTGTTTGTTCTTTAAAGTAGAGAGGCCCATGTATCAAATGACAACCTTGCTAATTATCTAGTAAGGTGTTCTAAATTCATGCCCCTTTATTCTTTGGCTGTCACCATACAGGTCTAAAAAAACAATCAACAGGACAATGAACTATTTAGAAGTTCTTGATTTTTATGCTAATATGTCCAGGTGAATTATAAGAACATATTCAAATACATTGTGATAAATTTAAATATTGTCTCTGATGCTATGTATCACAGGGACCAGTATAGTGCCTATATACAAATATCTTGTTTCTTGTTTTTTAAAATATTTACAGAAACTATGTGTAGCTTTACAAACATTTCTGACAGGTATTCTTCCTTAGTCATACATCAAGTGATGCAGACAGGAATGAAGCCTTCCACACAACTCCAGCAACTCCTTAAAAACAAGGACTAGACAAAACTTCCACTCAATAAAACATTCTTTCTCTGCGTTATAATCACAACTTCCAATGAATATTGACAAATGAAGATGATTGGCACACAACAGTAGGGTAAGTTCCTTTAAAAGTGCAAGAACCAGAAAAGCAAGTCAATGTTAGAAGCAAAGTTCTCTTTTTCTCCTAAACTGAGCTTTCTTGCTCCCAAAACTGGGACTGCTGGGATGGGCTAACATTCAGACAGACAATTGTGGTAGTTTCCAGGGTACATAATAAAAAAATAATACTGCTGATTTCAGAGTCACATGGTGCTAGAGAATTACATAGTCTTTTTTCTCACTATTTTAAAATGCAAGGAAGAAAAACTAAATCTGTCATAAAATAAAACTCCAAAAAGTAATTTGGCACTTAGGCCACTCTGAAGTGCTTAATGGCTGATGTTTACTGCTTCATGAGAGATGAAAACCAGCAATACATCAATACAGGACGGAAACTCAAAATGAACCCTCAAGAACCATCAAGGTGAAATGTTTTAAGTCAGGAATGATGATGACAAGTAAACTAGTGGCAAGGTACTGTTTTGCTTTTCAACCTCTAAAATTTCTAACGAAGAGAAAAAATTTCCGTTTTTAACAATGATTAAAATCTCAACCTTTGTAACAATTGAAGAATGAGATGAAAAAAAACAACAAAAAAACAGACAAACAAGGAATTTTTGAGCATTTAAAATACAGTTCAATTGTGCACTTAACATGTGGAAGTAACAAATGCAAGATTCAACAGTGTGAAAAGTGGTTAACGACATATATGGCAATGACATTTGCAACATTGGGTTATTCAATGGTTTGAAAGAACCATTCAGTAAATCTTCGCAGTTGTTGGGCAGCAGCCTGAGATTCATCATGAAGACGACGATTTTCATCCCGCAGTCTTCTCACTTCATCCTCTAGGGACAGGCGCAGATGAGTTTCTCGAGACAAACGTGCTTGTAGTTGAGCTAGTTGTCTCTCAAGGTCCGACACGCTTCGGATCCCTCCACTGAGAAAGGGAAAACAAAAATTAAAGTTGCTTAAATTTTCTTAATTACTGTAATGGAACCTGTAATTGATGGAACACACCTTCTGTCAAGGCCTAGACGCTCTGCAACATCATCTACCCAGTTTGCTAAGGGCTCACTGTTGGTAGATGCTGTATTGCCATCACTGATTTCCACCCCATCAGAAACATTGAGCAACGCCCTTGTGGCAGTGTCTACGAGGCTAGGCCAGTCCATGTCACGAGCATCGGGGAGAGGTATAGGTGAAAGTGAAGGTAGGGAGTTTTTGCACCCTCCATTGTTTGACACAGACTTTGTAACCCTTGGTGATAGCCTGTAACATATTTCATTCTGGAGTCAGTAAAAAGAAAAACACAGCACATTGCAAATGGAAACCACCATTCATGTCTTCAACATACCGTTCTTCCTTTGAAAGCTTATTTTCACTGGGAGCAGGGCTTGAAGCGGTAGAAGCATTTGAAATTACAGTTGCAGGTCGTGCAGTTGTGAGAATCACTTCATTAGGGGGTTCTGAGCCCACAGGAGCTGTTGCAGGTGTTGGCTCTAGGACAGAAGTACTGGTGCCACATAAGTTTTCACGAGATCTAGATTTAACATGAGGAAGATTGTCAGGTGTGTTGCCGTTGATGCTTCCTGCACTCCCTAAACTGCCGACACTGCCCATGCCACTGCTGCGGACTTTGCCTAAGGCTGCACCGCTGTTTTCCTGCAATTAGGTGATACAAATATGAGTGGAGTAAACCCATATTTTTAAATAAAACAAGCATTTGGGGAGGTGATGAAATTCATTCATGACATACCCGACTGTTATTCCCATCCTCATCAGCCATGTAGTCGGGGTTGATTAATCTCATGAGATCTTCCTGGAGGGTAGAGTTGTGGAGGTTGGCACTGTTCCTCTGTGTGGATCTTGGAGTCACGCCTGGCCGCAGCCGGGCCTCCCCGCAATCTCGCGCATCTCGCGGTCTGGGGCTTTGGTTGCGACTGCTGTTGGACGGGGTGGGAGTGTGAGGGCCCGAGGAATGTGAGGGTTTGCTGGAGCGGCGAATACCAGGTGACATGCTGTTACTGCTCGCTGACAAATCATCTGCGAATGCCACAGTCAAATTAGACACTGATCACACCCATCCAAATAAAGCCAGCAAGTCAGTATTTACCTTCACTATGCACGCCACACAACCTTTCACTCGTAGAACTTGTGTCAGTCGAGTGGCCATCACTTATGGCAAGTCCCCGCAGGCCAGCGCTTGCAACTTCTAAAGGAAGACTAGTTGATTTACTCATTTCACTCACCCCAGAGTAATCAGCCTGTCAGAAAAAAAAAAGTTTCAAAAGGGTGCCATATTTCACCTTAACTTCGAAGTGTAGCATTGCACAACAGAAGTATCACATGCAGAGTGAAGATCATGACGCACAACCTGAAGTCATTTGTTCAACAATTTGTGAAAGGTGCTTTACTCAGGCCAGACTGTGTGCAGGTGCAACTGCAGGTTTGCGCAACAGTCAAAACCAGGGAAGCTGAAGATTGTTTTAATTATACATTTCAAGATAAGGAGCTCAACTTATACCTTACTGAGCACACTGCCTGTGGTCAAAGCAAGCAGAGAAAAGGTAGGCTTAGCAAAGGGAGATGTTAATGAAAGCAACTGTGCAAGAAATGTGGTGCAAGGGCTGTTGAAGATTTGTGAAAGAGTTGCGCAATGAAGCAGGAATTCTATGGCTGGGGTATTGTGACCCACCTTGGGAGCTCTATTCTTGGCATAAGTTTCATGCCTAGAATAAGCATCTCTTTCAACTGACGCATCTCCACATCGAACTCTGTCACCCACTTTGAAGTTGTGAGGACTCTTCGTAGATAATATAGCCAGAGGTTGTGAGTAGTTTGCATGAGGTAGCGGCAGAGAATGGCTGACTTGAACCTGTGAGTTGCAAATTGTTTTTTATGTTGTACTTAGTTAGCTTAAACTGATCAATTGAGCTGTACATTTTAAGTTTGTAATGATGCTCTTTTACATTTGTCCCATAGCAATATTCATTAAATTTTAGGGCTCCATCACCAAAGCCAATGTTAACTTTTCAGCACTGGTTTATTAAGAAAAGTTGCACAAGATTTTAGTAACATAAAAAGGTTACACCCTTTGTTGAGAATTTAAAATATGGATTATCAATGGTACCAGACACCAAAGGATGAGAGTTGGGAAATCTCTTTACAGGTATAGAATTGTAGAGTTAAAATAACCGTGGGGGACCATTTAATTTTGCAAAAAACACCAACCAGCTTTAGTCACTCGGCTCCCACACCTACACACCTTGTTGTGATGCGTAGAGCCAGTGCTGGGCTTGACAAGGGTCTGCCCATTTGGAGTAACCAGCTGGAAGGCACTTGCACAGTTGGAGCCCTGCCCCAGCCTTGCGGGCAAGGGTGGAGGAGAGTCACGTCGAGGTGGGTCTGACGTATCAGATTGCTCTAATAGCTCATACCACCGATCATCAGTGTGTCCACCCAAACAATTTGTCAATGCACCCTGAGGGATCAACACCGCAAAACGTGAAAATATTTTTGGAAATCGGGGGATGGGCATGTAAGAAATGGGTGCTCAATTCAACATACCTCAACATTGGATGAAAACCTATCTCCTCCAGTGAAGGACTTGCTACTGCTTCCTGTACCATACCCAGAGCTGTTGCTCGACCGGGGAGGAGAAAAGCTCCTTTCATACCTGAAAAGAAGGGGCTCCACTTAATCCAGTGTCTTTGGTTTCTCTGGATAATTTAGTTTAGTTGCAATTTTTATTGTCTTTACCTTCGTCGATGATTACCAGGTACTACCTGCTGTAACTGGGCAGAACTTTTCCTGGGACTACCTTTTCCATTTGGTACGCTTCCAGTCCCAGATGACATCACAACCACCCCATCCTCAGAGCCATTAGCTAAATTTTCATAGTCACCTTCATAATTTTCTGCATTGTATTTGCAGTTTGGTAGGTTGCAACCTCTGCAAAACATACAAAGCAATTGATTATGTTTTTTTTTCCTTTTCATTTATTCCATAAATGAACTTGATTGAAAACCAACCTTCTTGGTGACCCATCATGGAGGGGAGGAATAACAGTTACTGTGACCAACATTGATGTCTTAAGCAAATCAACCATCTGATCATGTGATAAGGTTGAAACAGCTACCTTACAAATCTGAAATACAGAAATGATTTCCATTTTAACAACAAACTGCAGAGTCTAAAAGAGGAAAATAAAGGCCAGATTGATGCTTACCTCCACGAGGCGTGCCCCTTGGCGAAGACCAGCTTGCCAGGCTTGACCATGGCTTTCCACCTGTGTAACAACACCATCAGGCTGGACATGGAATCCAAGCTGACCCATGTTATTACGACGAAGAGTAAGCTCCTGAGCCACACTCCCAGGTGTCACACTCCGCAACCGAACCATCACCTCAACTAATTCTGTGCCACCCGCCTGAGTTTCTTTCAGGTGAAGACGTGTGCACTCTCCTTGATGGTGATACAATCTGAGGCTGAAATAAAAGTTTTATTTTTAAAAAGGTCAAAAATGCAAAGTTTGGTAAAAGATAAATTTAAAAAATCCATCACGATGCTTCTTTCTTACCTATTTCCTGTGGCAGCCCAGCCAAGGACAGAGGAGCATGGTGACACAAATACAATCTCTCGACTCCTTTCTTCAACTAGAACCACAGAATCGGCAGATATGGCCAGGAAACAGTCAACCAATGCAGACTGCCCACTGTCCTCCAGCACCACTTGCCAACAGAGGGCTCCCCTCTGAGTTGCATCAGGTAAAAACCGGGGCGGACGAGCAAGGGCCCGGTCCTTGTCTTTATCTTTACTCTTTTTACTACTAAATGAGAGCATTGCTGGAAGAAAATAAAAATATGCCGCTTCCAGAACAACCAACGCATTAGGTAAGATCAATAATTAGATTTTCAGGTAGAGGTACTCACAGAACTTCTGTCCAGTTTTCACAAGGGTAGTGACTGTGTAGTTATTAGCAAGATCTTTTAGATATTCTTGTCTAGTTCGTGTTGCCATGGTTGCAAATTTTTCAGAGCGATGAGCTGCATTCTCTGCATTAATAACTAGAAAAACAAATATAATCAGAACAATCAGCTAGTTGAAATAATTGTGGAACTATTTAGAAATTTAAAAATTGAAATTAGCACTACCTTTTGCTAGAAGGAAATCAGAAAATGCTTTGCCCTTTCTGTATGTGGCCCCTTCTTTAATTGGTGGTCCAAAGATTGGAACTTCTTTGGATCTACTAACAGCAACACTAACAAGGAAAAGAGAACAAACAGAATTAGAAACACATAACAAAACACATAACAACTTGAAAACAAGTTAGAATGCTTGCTTACCTGTACTGAGTATTATCTGAACAAGGATTGATTGCTCTCACAACAATAAATACATGTTGAAATTGAGAACGAATATTCTTTGGTGTGAAAGGTTGTGCACCAGGCTCTTGAAAAACTATTGTCACAATATCATTGCCAATGTGACGTTTGCGTAAAAGCTGCAATACACACACAAAAATGGTAGTGAGAAAAAATATAAGGGAAAGAGAACACACAAAATAATTCCAACTGAAAGGAATCACCGCCGACCTGTTGTCTGTTATTTGGAGTGAAAGGTAGCATGGTAGATACATGAAACATTATTTCACAGTCTTGGTACTGAGCGTACACAGAATATAATCCTGTTGAGTCAGCTGGGAAAATAAAAAATGAAATGAAAATATTTTTTATGGTGATGTAGTAATGTACAATAGCACTGTTTATTCATAGAGGGCAACTTACTCTTATTGTCAAGTCCTGCTTTATATTTGTCAAAACCTTTTAGTCGAACTCGTTGGCCAATATTTTCTAAAAACTCTTGGAACGCTGGGCCAGCATCTTCATTATTATACATTTCTTCCTCTGTTCCCTGCCCAGCTCGGCAGTACATGATTCCCACTTTGTAGTGGTTTGACAGGCCCTGTTCATCCAATTTCAGTAATTGTTCCTCTGTTTGGGGTGATGCTACTCCAAGCCTTAAACTGTAAAGACAATTTGTCTCATATTAATAACAACAATAATAATGATAATTAGATGTTAACACAGTCACTAGGACTTAATTAGTTTTTCTTACCATGCTAGCTGTAATTCAGGGGCGACATACTCTAAAACCTCTTTAGTGTTCATCATTGCTTTATTGCTGTCCTTATTTGTATTATTATTGTTATTAACGTTTGAAGTTTTAAGATTAGGAATGGCATCTTCAAGGACAGACCCTCTTAATGTCAAAAGCTGCAACACATTAACGCCAGTTAGTAATACAGCGGAGATAAACACAAACGCATATTTGTACATCAAGCCGCTGTCTTACCTCACTAGTACGGATAAGAACTCTATACTGATAGACAGGCTGAGGTGGCGCTCCCCCACTTGAGTCGGAGGAAAGCTTTCCTGGTCTCTCCACTAATTCCCTCTTGATACTTGCAGCCACCGGGCCGAGCGTCTCGTCCATACCAAACCAGTTTTGGTGTTCTGTGTAAAACAGCAAGAATAAAATCAAAACACGGCAAGTGTTTGCAAAAGCAGAAAAATATTCTATGAAGATGACAGAAGCCGCGATGAATGAAGATGGAGGCAAACGCACCCTGGCCGTGGAAGCAGCGGCGGTAGTACTGCGCGCCGTGGTCCACGCTCTCGATGGCGGCGTGGGGCGGCGGCCGCTGGTAGGGGCAGCAGCTCACGCCCTTGCCGGTCTTCCAGTGCGTCTCGCCGGGCGGGAACTCGAGCACTGACACCCCGCAGGCCAGCGCGGGCCGGTGCATGGGGGCGTTGGCGGCGGCAGCGGAGGAGGAGGACGCGCCGGCGGGGAGGCACCGCGTTAGCGACACGACGCGCTCGCCCTCGCCGCCCACCTCGTTGCGGAAGTAGGGGCAGTTCTCCAGGAGGTGGTTGGCGTTGCCGTCGCCGACGTCCTCCGCGTCCAGCGCCTCGGCCGTCGACGAGGCCGCTGTGGCGGTGGCGGTGGCGGCGTCGGGGGTGGCGGACCGCGGCCCCGAGGCCAGCATGGACGCGGCCGAGGCCCCCGTCGTCGTGTTGCGTCGGCGCGCCAGCAGCAGCCCGCGGAGCCGCGCGGCGTAGCTCAGGTTGGCCGTGATGCTCTGCACGTCGTAGTGCGCGAACGCCGCGCCGCGCCGCCGGCCGTCCCGGTCGCGGTCCGCGTCGCTGACGACACCCACCGCCGCGGCGCCCCACGTCCCCAGGGCGGAGTCGTCGACGGTCGGGGGGGCGCCGCTGCCGCGCGACGGCGGCTTGGTGGGCTGCGTGGCCGCGGACGGCGCGCTGCCGTTGGCAGTCGGCGCGGCCGTGCCGGGCGGGGTGGCCGCCACGGACGCCGTCGTCGTCGTCGTCCCCGCGTGGTGGCCGTTGGTTTGGGCGCCGCCGCCCCAGAAGCGGTGCAGCTTGAGGCGCAGCTTGGGGCTCGTGTTGTTGGCCGCGGGGTTCCTGAAGTGCGAGAGAGACAGACGCGCCTTCATTACACAGTCCGCAGTCTGTTGCGGCAACAGGTGGCGCGCTGCGCGGCGCTGCGCGGCGCTGCGCGTCCACCGCCTTGCAGACTCGCAGCTCGCGCAGCGCAGACACCGCTGCCAACCGCACACCGTCGCCGGGGACTTCCCCCGCCACCCAAGTCAGGCAAATCGCTCCAAATAGCAATATTGATGTGCTGTATCGCCATATCGACTTCACTCCAAATTTGGCACGGCCCGAAACTGAGCGCCTGTGTCGCCTGCTCCACTTTTGAGGGTGGTTTTGGCGCCCAGTTTCTGGGCACCTTTGTAGTCTATTCTCAGGGTCCTCAAACCATCCCGCAACTGGCCCTCCCCCGAGGTAGAGCATGCACAGGAGCCTATTTTCTGGACGACCATGGTGCCCAGATTTTAGGCACCCCTGACGCTGCCGAACCACGGGAGAAGGCAAGTTGCTGGATGATTTGTAGACCCTGAGACTAGGCGACAAAGGTGCCCAGAAACTGGGCGCCAAAGCCACCCTAAAAAGTGGAGTAGGTGACGGAGGCGCCCAGTTTCGGGCCATGCCAAAATTTGAAGTGTAGCCAGCCTCAACATGACAAAAATAAATGAATGGAGTGACACGCTGTCACCGGCACACAGAGGGCCAGAAAACTCTAGAAGCGTTTTGAGCTCCAGAGTCGCTAAATGGGACTACTATAACCAAACGCGTGACCCCACCAATAGATTGCTCTCCTAACGAGGGTTCCATTGGTGGGGCCCACTGTGCGGCATCAGCGCTACGCCGCTACGCCGCTGACGAGTCGCGTACCTGTCGGAGCACGGCGAGTGCGCGGCGTGCGGCACGGCGTCGTCCACCGAGACGGAGTTGCCGTCCACCACCGTCACGGCGTTGCCGGCGTTGCTGGCGGGGCTGTGGCCGCGGCTGTGGCCCGTGACGGCGCCGGGCGACCGCGCGTGCACGCCATGGCCGTTGTTGAGACCGTGTCCGTGGACGCCGCCGTGGCCCTCCAGCACGGCGGGCCGGTACTCCTTGAGCATGGCGAAGAAGCTCTCGCTGGAGGGCATGTGGCTCTGCAGCGGACTGGACGCGATCACGTCGATGGAGCCGTGGCTGCCGTACTCGCGGCGCAGGACGCCGCTGGGGCCTGGAATCACAGAGGACACGTGAAAAACGGACGTCGGCAAACGCACAGTGGGCCAGAAGACCGGCGGACGCGGCCAAAATCCCCAACGTGTTTTGAGCTCCAGAGTCGCAATGGGACTCGAATCGAACGTGTGACTCCACCAATGGACTGTTTTGCGAACGAGGAAACCATTGTTAGGATCACACACGATCGGTTCGAGTCTCATTGAGCGACTTTGGTCGGAGATGAAAACGCGTCAAGAATTTTGGCCGCCTCCACGGTCGTCCGGCCCACTTTGAAACGGGCAGGTTTCGAACCATCGAACCCACGCGCCGCGCCGCGCCGTAGACGGACAGCCACGCCATTCCGAGCCATCGTTCCGTCCCTCTGTCTCTCTCGCACCCATGTGGGGCGCCCCGCGAGTGCGAGAGAGACAGAGCAATGAGCCTGCCGGCGAGGGTGAATGGGCCTCCCAAAAAGAGGGACCGGTCTCGGCGACGAGCAGGGCGACGCGACACGACGAGCCAAAAGCTGCTGAGGTCATTTTATTTGAGGCTGATTCGCTGCTCTGTCTCTCTTGCTCTCGCGGCGCGTCCCACGGCAAGAGGCGGTCAGAACCCCGGACGCGTTTTGAGCTGCAGAGTCGCTAAATGGGACTCAAACCGAGCGGACCCCACCAATGGATTGCCCTCCGAACGAGGAATCCATTGGTGGGGTCACACGTTCGGTTCGAGTCCCATTTAGCGACTCCGGAGCTCGAAACGCGTCAAGAGTTTTGGCCGCCCCCACCGGCCTTCTGTCCCACTGTGCGTGGGGGTGCGGGAGGGGCAAACAGCGCGGCGCTGCTCACCCTGGTGGTGCTGGTGGTGGTGGCCGTGGTCCGGCGCCAGCTCCAGGCTCGAGTTGCTCCTGTACAGCGTGTCGTTACTGCTGGGGTGGCCGAGGTGCGGCCGCGCGTTGCCGGGGTGGTGGCCGCCATGGTTGACGCCGTGGTTGACGCCGTGGTGGGGGCGGGGGGCGGGAGGCGCGGCGTGGCCCAGCCTGCCCGGCCCCACCAACCCCGCGTCCGTCCGCGCCCGCAGCACCGAGGTGTTGTAGTACTCCACGGCCTGCATGGCCCGCTCCCGCGAGCTGCGCCCCACCGGCTGCAAAAACACAAAAAGACAAATGATGATGGTTCGAATCCAGATCAAGTGCCCCCATTTTTCCTCCTCCAACGGATCTCGCGCGCGGCTGCTTTTGATTTGGCGGTCTCTCGTCCTTACTGTCCACGCGCACAGTGGGCTGGGGCCCCCGTCAAAACTCTAGACGCGTTTTGAGCTCCAGAGTCGCTAATCAGTATTCGACCCGGGTGTACGTACGACTCCACCAATGGATTCCTCGTTCGGAGACCAATCCATCGGCGGGGTCACACGTTCGGTTCGAGTCCCATTTAGCGACGCTGGAGCTCAAAGGATTGCGACCGCCTCCACCGGTCCTCTGGCCCACTGTGCGGGGACGGCGGCGGGGATCGACGCGGCACTCTCGGCACATACTGGCATTCAAGTTCCCGCCCAACCATCTGCCTCCATCCGCCGAGCAGCGCGGCGCGGCAGACTGAGAGTCGTTTTCATCGCTGTCTCTCTCACACTCGTGGGGCGTTCCGAATGGGCGTGAGAGAGACAGAGCGACGAAAACGACTCTCTGCGGCAGCAGCGCCGTGTCGCCCCTTTTGTACTTTGTACACAGTCCGCCCGGCGCATCCCGGCCCGGCCAGCCGTGACCCGGGCCTGGCACGCCTACACTGCCAAGGACCGAGGGCCGCAGCCGAAACACAGGAACGTCCCTAGACTAGGCAGTCGGTGAGTGGGGAGTCATGTGCGAGAGAGACAGAGCGATAAACCGATCTCCTTTATTGCTCGGCAGATTCCGAAACCTCCCCGGCATGCCGCGGGGGCCGCGTGCCGCTGCGTGCGACGCGGCAATGACAGCGACCCCCAGCAGACTGATTCCGAGTGGGAGGGCTCTCTCTCTCGCACTCATGGTGCGCCCCGTAAGGGTGCGTGAGGGACAGACCGACGAGAGCACTGCAGGCCAGGGGCCGCCAGGGGCAGCCTTTCGGAGACCTCCCCTACGTGACTCCGCGACGCACCCCCGGGCTTAGGGCGGTCATGCCTCCGGCTTGGCCTCCGGCTTGGCCGCCCCGTCGCGACTCAAACTAACGGCGGCAGTGCCTCTGCACTGTGCGCTGCGCCTTCAAGGAGCGCCGCGTTGCACAGTGGGCCAGAAAGCCGGTGGAGGCGGCGACTCTATGGAGCTCAAAAAGCGTCTAAAGTTTTCACCGCCTGCGCCTGACACACTGTGACCGTCGTCGACAGCCTTTCCGGCCAGCCCGAGGGCCGGCCCCTCATCGACTCATTGACGAGTGTTCATTCATCGGCTAGGTAATGGTCGGGGTAAGAAACGGTTTTGCGGCCCTCGCCGTACGCGAGGCACTGCGAGGCACTGCCAGGCAACGCGACGCGCATGCTAATCAAGCCCCAAGGATCTGTGACAAACAACACGCGCGCACACACACACACACACACACACACACACACCACCCTCTCTCTCTCTCTCTCTCTCTCTCTCTCTCTCTCTCTCTCTCTCTCTCTCTCTCTCTCTCTCTCTCCCTCTCTCCCGCACACACATGCTACATACGCTCATTCCTCGTCAGGTCTGCCGACCCAGCAGCGACAGGGAGACTGCGGGTGAGCGGGGCCGCCGGAACTCACCTGCAACAGAGGAGACAAGAACAAAAATAAAGCACCACGGCAACAATTAGAGGAACAAGAGCAGGGCAGGCTGCGCACCTGACGACAGCACTGTTAAAAAAATTGAAAATAAGTTGGACAATCCCGTTGAGGTTCCGAAAGTCCGTAGGGAATCTCCATAGTCTTCTTTCTCCAGTCACAATAATGATATTATGTGGTAGTAAATATCTGCCGGAGACTCAAATAAAATAACCATCGAAGGTTTATAAATTTTTAGAAGATCAGAGGCGATTCATTTCCCTAAGAAAGTTTACCGGGAATCTCCAAGATTTATTTTTAACAGTAAGCTGTTCGAGGAGAAATGCTTTTTAAAATTGAAATTAAGCTCAACGGAGGCCCATGCGTTGCGTTTCGCCCCGGTGGATGCGTGGATCGTGGATCAAAATGTCTGGTTTGACGGTTGAACTCGAGACCACACGTGAAAGGGCCGCGAGCTTCAAAGGGAGCGAGCCCCTCCGGGAAGGGCCCCCGGCGGCTCCCGGTACACAGTTGGGCCAGAAGACCGGTGGAGGCGGTCAAAACTCCAGACGCGTTTTGAGCTCCAGAGTCGCTGAAGAAGACTCAAACGAAACGTGTGGGCCCACCATTGGCTTCCCCGTTCGGAGAGCAATCCGGTGGAGTCAAACGACGTTCGGTTCGAGTCCTGTTTAGCGACTCTGGAGCTCAAAACGCATCCGGAGTTTTGGACGCCCCCACCGGTCTTCTGGCCCACTGTGCGGTAGGGCCCCGCGGCGGCGAAGGGCCCCGGAGTACGTCAGTGAGTCCAGGGGCCTGGGCCGGCCTGGACGCCCCGGGGCGGGCCGAGCCTCGGGCCGAGCCCTTGGCCCTGAGGCTGCCGCCCTGCCGCCGCGATGCCGCCGCGCGCGCCCGGCCGCCTGGGTAGGGACCCTGGCCCTTCACCTCAAGGGCATGAAGGGCCAGATAAATGACTGCCTGCATGTGTACCCGGTAATAAACGGACTAATAAACACGTTGCTAGCCGCTGGAGCACGCCTCCTCCTGGAACTGGAGGACTGGAACACTGGAAGGGCCCAAACGAGCCCCCGAGCCCCAGCACAGTGGGCTAGAGACCAGTGGAGGGGGCCAAAACTTTTAGCGCGTTTTGAGGTCTAGAGTCGCAAAGCAGGGCTCGAACCGAACGAGTGACCCCACCAATATGGACTGCTCTTCGAACGAGGAATTCTGGTGGGATCGTAGGTTCGGCTCGAGTCCTGTTTAGCGATTCTGGAGCTCAAAACGCGTCTAGAGTTTTGGCCGGCCGCCTCCCGGTGTTCTGGCCCGCCCTTGCGTCCTGCAGGACACCTATACGGGACGCCCCATGAGTGCGAGAGAGACAGAGCTACGAAAACAACTCTCGCAGTCAGGCGGAGAAACCAAGCCGGCGACCGTCTCAGCACAAAAATCCATTATCGAGCGATCGGGACCATCGCCATCCCCGGTTCGGTTCGGCGGACGTCACGGGATAAGTGGAGCAGCCGCCTGATTCCGGAGGATCGTTTTGTCGCTCTGTCTCTCTCGCACTCGCGTCGCGTAGGGCGCGTAGGGGTGCGAGAGAGACAGGTGCGGTGCCACGCCACTTTCATCCACGAGGAAGCCGTCGCCGTGGCCCCACCCACACCGCGGAGCCGCGGAGCCGCGGAGCACGGCGCGACCCTCGACTCCATTCACCGCCACGGTGGAGCACACTCAATCCGGGAGCCGTTTTCGTCGCTCTGTCTCTCTCGCACTCAAGAAGGCGTCCCGCATGGGTGCGAGAGAGCCAGGGCGACGAAAACGGCTCTCGGAATGAGGCTCGCCGCCAGGACCCTGCAGGACCGACGGGGAGCTCAATGGAGGCCAACGAGCCCGTTACGCTGGCCGAGCCGCGCCGCCGCGCCGCCCTCCGCACCGCCAGGCCGCCAGGCTCGGCTTCACGCACAGGCGGGGCGAGGCGCCGACTGGGCCGCCTCCCGTAATAATTAGTAAAGACGATCGAGCATCGAGCCGTGCCGAGCCGTGCCGAGCGTCCAGCCGTGCGTCCAGCCCGGGGCGGAACGGGTGGAAGGTGGAGCCGCCCGGCGGGGGCTTCTCGCCGAAGGAGTGCCCGCAAACGCCCCCCGACGTAGTCGTACGTACTGGCACCACTGGGTAAGAAGACCAGTGGAGGCGGTCAAAACTCAAGACGCGTTTTGAGCTCCAGAGTCGCTGAACGGGACTCGAACCGAACGTGTGACCCCACCAATTGATTGCTCTCCGAACGAAGAATCCATTGGTGGGGTCACAAGTTCAGTTCGAATCCCATGTAGCTCAAAAAGTGTCTAGTGCTTTGACCGCATGCACCGGACTTCTGGCCCACTGTGCACCGTCATACACAGTCACACGCAGGCACGCCCCCGCACGCAAACACGTTCGTGAGCAGAGTGCTGCGTGCGCCGTTTCGAATCCCAGCCAACGGCACGTGCGTGAGTTCTTACTATACGCTCGATTGAGCAAACACAGAACGACATGATAGCACTATAATAGCTATGTATTCCCCGGGTCTAAAGCAACAGTAGCTGCTAACCAAGCCACAAGGACACCACCACCATCACCACCAACACAAGAGAACAACCACAACAAGAACCACCCAGTATCCACACTCAGAGCGCGGGGAGGACCCCTCTGAGAAAGCTTCGTGACGGCCCCCGCCAGCCAGTAGCCGTCCGCTTGAGACGCGGCTCTGCCACTGCTACGCCACTGCTACGCCCCCCACCGGACACACAGCGTCTTCTTATTGTTTTATTGCATCGCCGGTCCTCTGATGAATGAGGGAAATGCTTCGTTGGCTCTACCGCCCCTCCCGCCGGGCTGTCCGTCTGTCTGTATGTCTAGTCTCTGTCTGTATGTCTAGTCTCTGTCTGTATGTCTAGTCTCTGTGTGTCTCTAGTCTCTGTGAGCCTCTAGTCTGTGTGTCTAGTCTAGTCTCTGTCTAGTCTGTCTGTCCACAGACTGTCTATAAGTCTGTCTGCTCTGTCTGTTCGTCTGGGGAGGGGCAGGCACTCCCTCCCACGCCTCCCGGTGCCTCCAGACAGTGTACTGACGTCGCCAAGGGCAACGGCAGCCACGGCAGCTGCGGGAGGCGCCAACGCCTAATGGCTGCGGTCCTGCGGTCAAAGGCAACCTTTAGCAAACGCTGCAAACGCAGCAGAGAAACCCAGCGAGGAGGCCAAGAAGGTCGCCGTGCTCCTCCACAGCTTTACAGTGAATCTTCGAGCAGCAGACTGAGAGTCGTTTTGGTCGCTCCGCCTCTCTCGCACCTGTGCGGACCGCCCCATGCGCGCGAGAAAGACAGAGCGACGAAAACGACTCAGTCTGCGGGCGCCAAATGGACCGGCCGGCCGAAAGCGAAGCGATCAGCCCCGCGGCCTTGATGGCCTTGATGAGGAGCCATCAGGCCGCCGTCGCGCCGTCTCTCTCGCACTCACGGGGAGTGCGATGACGTCATCCGGCGGTGCATCACGGCATGCGATGCCTCGCAGGTGCAGCACTGCAACACAAAGCGTGGCGAAGCGGCGAAGCACACCGCAAGGCCCGCGAGGTGCTCCATGCCGCCGCTACACTGCCAGAGGCAGCCTCAGTCTCAAGCAGAGTCAAGCCCAGAGATCGCGAGGAGGAAGTGTCACCCTGGCAGGGAGGCCCCTGGTACAGAAATAGAAATCCAAGCCCCCTGATAGAGAGATAGAAAATCGAAGCCCCCAGGTACAGAGATAGAAATCGAAGTCCCGTGATAGTAGGGAGCAGAAACCGCATTGTACCGATCAATGCGCCATTTTGAAGCGGCCCAATTCGCACTTTGCCGCGGGTACCTCGACCCCCCCCCCCCCTCTCACACACACACGGCGCAAGGAGGGCGTGCACATGTGGCCCTTTGTGTGTCTCTCTCGATGCGGGAGGCAAGGCTGCGCCAGGCTGCACTTGCTGTGCTGTGGGTCTGTGGCGTGAGGCGGCGGCGGCGCGTGGGGCACAGAGCCAGGCCACCAGGTCACCACAAGGGAACCATTGCCCGCTCACTGAGCCACAGTGGACCGGTGGAGGCGGTCAAAATCCCGGACGCTTTTTTACGGGACTCGAACCGAACGTGTGACCCCACCAATGGATTGCTCTCCGGAGGACGACTCCATTGGCGGGGTCACACGTTCGATTCGAGTCCTGTTAGCGAATCTGGAGCGCTTCATGTTCACGTTCGTGTAATCAAAATAGGCCGATTTATTTCCGGGTGGACATCGCAATTTAAAAACTAATACTAAAAATGCCAGCAGGAAAAATATTCCCCTCAAAAAAGGTTTACTTGGTCCAAAGATCTGTTTTGTTTGCGAGCGGGGCTAATAACGCCAGCGGCCCCAATCCCTCTCCTTTTGGAGAGTCTAAATTAGATTAAACAATTTGGCGCGATAATTATTCAGATGCGATGCGTGGAAAATTGAGTATTAAGTCCAGCGGGGTACAGTGTCCTCACCCCGACACACTAGTATGCTAATGCACATCTCACTGCACCGGCTACCGTCTTGTCCCACACTGTAAAAAAAGCCAAGTCAAATCTGACTAAAAGTAACCGCCTGACTTTGACTAGGTAGTCGTAAGAAACATCACTATCTCAGTCTAAACGATGTTCCGAAGAAAAGCAACTTAATTTCAGACAGTTAACTTGTTCTTTACGGTTCAGAACTCCTGAGCCAGGCAATCAGCCAAAAGGTGAGTTGAAATTTTCATGTCCAACAGTTGTGGGAACCGGGTCACAAATGCGATAGCGTGGAGAGAGAGAAAAAACACTTTGAAATATGACATGGAGGCGGAAACCGGAGGAAACGAAAATACTTTCCGGCCGCAAAGCACTTGTCACTTCTGCTAAGGACGCCTTCTTCTCGACGCTTTCAAGCGATTTTAATGCAATTAACGCAATTTCGAGACGCGCGTTCGCAGGGTGTGGCAGGCAGTGGTGAGGAGAGGCCAATTGCTACCAACTGTCAAGAAGCTAAGCAACGCGGGGGCTCCTCCACTGGGAACGACGACACCGTAAAGCTCTTTTTAAACGCAGTATCGGGTCGCGTGCCTGAGAACCTGCACTGTGGCAAAAACCTTCGGCGAGCCACCCTCCAGGGCCCTGGTGGCACGGGTGGCACTTGCAAACAACTAAGGATTGTATTCAAAATGAACCAGGGGAATGGCGAATGGTGGCAACTGCGCAAGCAAAAGCATCTCACAGTGAGCAGACGACGGGTGCAGGCGGCCGAAATTCTAGACGCGTTTTGAGCTCCAGAGTCGCTCCGCTCAACAGGACTAAAACCGAACGTGAGACCCCACCAATGGTTTGGAGAGCAATCCATTGGTAGGGTCATACGTCATTTAGCGACTCCAGGGCTCAAAATGCGTCGAGAATTTAGGCCACTTCCACCGGTCTTCTGACCAACTGTGCATCTGGAAGAATCTACTGCTATCTGAACCATACCCAAACTATGGCTACACATCGCTATACAAGATGACCGAGACAGACCCAAAAACCAAAAAGGCGTTTTACAAATTCAACATAGAAGCGCCAAAGAAACTTGATAGACAAGCCAGCCGAGGGCGTTGACGCTGCAGCTACCGTACCTTGCCCATCATACTTGAGGCGTTACCTGTATGCACGCATAAAGGGCATCCATGGTCCGCCCTCCCAGGCGAACTTACCTGGAACAATAGAACAGAACAGGTGAGCTTCTAGAAACACAAACTCGTTAAAGCACTTGGGGAAAGGCCCGCACAAACACTGGAAAAATATCAGTAAAGGCACAGAGAATTCTCAAAGGTACGTTATAAAGTCAGCTGCACACGATATAGAGAATTTGGAGTGTGGACAGAGCAAACTAAATTTCTTGGTTGAAAGGACTTGGTGTTGAGATAACAGTGATACAAATAAGTGGGCGGGTCAAATTTTCATCCAGCGTGGTCCAGAAGAAAAAGGACAGAAGTATGCGAAGTGTGCACGTAAGGACGGTTCAGGCAATTAACTGATCAGACATGTTCCACACTACGTATTACTGTAAGTTTGTCTCCCAGTGTACTCGCAAGTAAGTGAGCAATTCACAATAACGCTATTATCCCAGTTTCAATGCATATTGCGAATTACTGTCAAGTGGCGGACCGCTGCTCGACCCTAATCGCTGGGGCGCCAAGGCTCGTCCATCAAAACTCTGTTCTGACAGCGAGAGGCAACGCGGGCAAAAGTTTGGCGGCTCGTGCCAGTGCCAGAGCGCGAGGCCGTAGCACAGTAGGCTGATTCCGAGAGTCGCCCTGTCCCTCGCACTCATGGCGTGTTGTTATGGGTGCGAGAGAGACAGCGCGACGAAAACGACTCAGTCTGCAGGCCGCAGAGCCAGAGCCGCGTGTTTCATCATCAATGCGGCTGTCAACTCACTGGGAGTGTCTTGCAATCCATTCAACCGCGCTGGATTACGGATGAGGAGGAAGTGGCGCCGCGAGGTGCGGCTCGGCACGGCTCGGCCGGCTGCGTGCACTACACTCTAATTTCAGCCGTTCACGATGAACTTAGACGAAGTTAGGCGCCGAGATAAAGACAATAAGATGCAGATGGGCAGCTCCTTGCGCTCGAGTCTAGTTAGAGGGCAATTTAAGCCATCCGCCACACGCAAGCACGGAAAGCCCGTGTTCTGCTGCAGACTGATTCCGAGAGTCGTTTTCGTCGCTCTGTCTCTGTCCCACTCATGGGGCGTCGGGAATAGGTGTGAGAGAGGCAGAGCGACATGAACGCGTCTCTTGGAATCAGTCTGCGGGACTCTTTCACAAACATCATGAAGAGCAAAGAATGTTTACGAGTACGTAAAAAATCCAGTTCCAAAATTTCAAATTAGGGGAAGAGCTCAAAAAAGACCCGTACACAGCCCACAGTGGGGAAGAAGACCGGTGGAGGTGGCTTAAATTCTGGACGCGTTTTGAGCTAGACCTAGAACCCAGCGTGTGACCCCACCAATGGATTCCTCGTTCGGAGAGCAATCCGGGCTCACACGTTCGGTTCGGAGTCCCATTTAGAGACACTGGAGTTAAAAACGCATCCGAAATTTTGACCGCCTCCACCGGTCTTCTGGCCCACTGTGCAGCCGAGTCAAGATGACAAAAGTCCCTGCCGCTGCCGCTCGGCAGACCGGCCGCTCTATCAAGCCCGCGCCATCTCCAGCGCGTCCCCGACAGTCCCTGCAGATCATGCAGGTCATGTACGCGCCAGGTCACTTAGGCCCGGCCCCTGCAGGCCCTGGGCCCCGAGCCTGGACGAGACCGGGATAGCCATCTCCCTCTTACGAGCTTTCGTTTCCGAAACGCGGCAGCGCGACTTCCACTATGCGGAGCCGTTTTCGTCTCTCTGTCTCTCTCGCACCTACACGGGATGCCCCATGCGGGCGAGAGAGACAGAGCGACGAAAACGACTCTCGGAATCAGTCTGCCGGCACGCCGGCCACGCCAGCTAGACGAGAAGGGAGGTGTCAGCTTCATCTGATTAGTCGAAACAAGACGACGTCGAAGCCAAGTAGTCGATCAACTCAAGACGCGCACGGACTCGGAAAAAACAACAACAAAAAACAACACGAGCAGGCAGGACTTCTTGCGCGTATAAAAGCTTTCCCGACAATTTACTTAATTATTTGGCCGCGCAGACAAACACGCAAAAACGATTTCGTCGCGTGTCGGCGATTCATCACTGGCAGGCGACATGCTGACCAATCAGTCACTCGTCCGAGTCGCGAGGGGAGGGGAGGAGGCAGGGTGGGATCAGGAGGAGAGGGGTAAGAGTGGGATCAAGAAAAGAGGGCGGGATCAAGAGGAGAGGGGTAAGGGTGGGATCAAGGATGGGATCAAGAAAAGAGGAGGGGGATCTGAAGAGGCGTAAGGGTGCCACCAGGAGGAGAGGGGCGGAGTCCAGGGTGCGATCAAATAATCCTCACCTAAATTTAGGCGATAAAGAAACCCTTACCCAAAATCTTAGTCCTGATGACTCCTTTATTTTTAGTGCTTGGGAGCAGGTTGTTTTTTTTTTTTTGGGGGGGGGGGAAGAAAGGTGGGATCAGATCATGAACCGACTGGAGCCGGCTGGAGCGCGCTTGGCTTGTGCTGCTCCGCTGGACAGCGACTGTTAGGCCCCTCGGCTGGCTGCGCTGGCTGGCTGCGTGGCGGTCACGCATAGCTGGGGCCGGAAGCGAAGCAAAGCAGGCACGCCGGCCGAGGACCAGCGAGCGGCCGAGCGAGGGGGACGCGAGCAAGCCATGTCCGGTCGCAACGTGCTGGGACACACTGGTCTCATCTAGCTTCCCAAAATACTTTGTCATGTGGTTCTAAAAAGCGTAGACCACTGATCGTTCACCTCCAATAAAACGCCTGTTTCTAAACGAAGTGGGAGATGTGAGAAAGCATCCAGAACTTCACCTCGTTGTTAAAAGTAAGCACCCAGAAGCAACGCTTCATAACATAGAAGTAAAACTAAGCTAGGGGAAACAACTCCAAAGAAAACGTACTCTAAAATTCATGAATAATCTAGAATTTTAGTCAAATTTCTTCAAAACTCTTGAAATTTAGTCAAAATTTACACTTCTAAAACCAGTGAAGTTAAAGCTGGAATTCCTCGAAATTCAAAGTTATTTCTCCTTGAATGAAACTGGATCTTCAGGGTGAATTTGCCTTCTTTGAGGCCCATTTTTCTGTTTCAAGATTATTTTTGCTGGGTGTGGAACGTTGTCCAGTGACGGACGTGCCCCGGCGGCGCGCTCGCCGAGGCGAGAAAATGCAGAGCATGACCCGTCAGAGCGAATCCGGATGGGGTGGGGTGGACAGACTGCACCGGCGTGCCGCGCCGTGATGCCGCCCACTCCAAGCAGTGCATCAGCGAGCACACAGCAACGAGCGAGTGACCGGCACTTTTTCCACAAAACGTGAACTCATCATAATCACTGGCCATCATCTATATTTTCAGCGGGACCGCCTGTCCGTCCGCCCGTGTCCGGCACGGCCCCCGTCGGGCTCAGCTTCCATCCATCATCGTCACCTCGGCCCAAACTTTGGCTTTCCGAACCACGCGCCTAAGAGTGCGCTTGACGCACGTCCAGGAAGTCAGGGACTTGTAACTTAACAACGAAGTAACCTCTAACGATAAACGTTATGCAAGGATAACGTCATTTTAGAATAATTCCTATTTCCTTCAGCAGAGTGAAAATTTTGGTTGTCACTGACTATTATTTCCAGGCCAATTTTTCGTAACGTCGTCAAACCTGTTGATGAGATTGTTATAACCTCATGCAATGAGTAATATAGGAGCTTCGGTAAAAATGCCATCCACGGCTTATCCGAAACACATAATTTCAGTGAGGGCCATACTGGCACCGGTATATGCACTCTGTGTCCGCTTCGCAGCACCTCACAAGAAGACCAGCAAGGTCAGCGACTGCGAGGACGTTCCCACATCCCTCTCACGTGAGTAGCGCAGAAGGGCCCTAGAGGTTCATTACCAGAATTAAACGTAAATTAACTTTTTTGGCCGGCGGCGTCGGCCCCGGCTGGTTCCCGTCCACACCATTATAAAAAGCCCAGTCCCGTTCGCAACGCGCTGCATATTAGGACCGAGTTCACCCAAAAACTGTTCCCTCACTCCACTCGGCGAACAAAGCCACCATCGTACTGAGAGAAGAAGAGTACAGAAGGAGCAGCTGGTTTGCATATCAGAAGCCTCTGCAAACAAATTTTCAGACATTTCATGACTAAGTAATGGGTGCAATTTTCATCAAGATGAAAACGACAAGTAAAAGACTTTGTTGTCAAAGCTCTTGCACACAGCAGTGAGGTAAGCAAGTATTGTCGGCAACGATGACAGTCTCGTAATTTGTCTCCGACAGCCGAGATTTTCAGTGTCCCAGTGCCCAGTGGGCCAGAAGACCGGTGGAGTCTGTCAAAATCCTGGACACATTTGGAGCTTCAGAGTCGCTAAATAGGACTCGAACCGAACGTGTGACCCCTGGATTGCTCTCCGAACAAGGAATCCATTGGTGGGGTTCGAGTCTTGTTTACCGACTTTAGGGATGAAAACGCGTTTGGCGTTTTGGCCGTCTCCACCGCTCTTCTGGCCCACTGTGCTCCTCTTCTTTGCTGCGCAGTGGTGGACCGAGCTGCACATGCAAATGTGTCCGAGATTACCGAAAGGCTTCACGCAACTGACAGATGGAGTGTAAGTGAAGCAACGTCTGGCTCCATTCCCCGACGAGCAGGCCGGGCAAGCCAGGCCAGGCAAGCCAGGCCCAACAAGGGAAGCGAGCTGCAAGTCATTTCCGCCAGAGGGCGCCATCAAGGCGCTCCGCACCACACAAACAATTTCCTTCTAATCCAAGAAAAAAGAGCCTGAACAATTAGAGCCTACCAGGGAAGAAAACGACGACAACAACAACAACAAACGCCGGTGAAAAGTGCAGATTCTACGCCAGACGAAAGCCTCTCAAAATGAGGGAAATGGCAAATTATTTGCACACAATAAGATCGTTCACTTTCCTACCACTCGGGCATTTTTCGAGCTGCCCTGAGAGACTTTTCGAAAAAATCGCACACTTCCGCAGTAATGCCGACCGACAGTGCCACAATGTGCCGCACATCCGGACGGCAAAAGAACCAGATTCTGCGAGAAACTTCTGTTTTCGCTG